GGCATCAGAGCAGCCCAAGCTGAAGCAAGCTGTCTGCGGTATGAAGGCTGTACGTGTGTGGTGCTGCTGGTTAAGTCTTTAGCTACCCATTACAGTCTAGAATTGAGAGCCAGCATTGTCTCAGCTGTAATAAGTCAGCCCAGAAGTTCATGTAGCCCAGCAACGTGCCCTGGCGTGCCCAGTAATGGATGCTTAAAGCGAGAGAATAAGTTGGTGGTTACAGAGTGAGCCTTCCCTCTGTGCTTGCCCTCCTCGTAGTTAGTGGTTTAGGCTCACGGGATGATAAAGCCTTTTTTAAGACTCCAAGTCCTTACCTCCTCTGCTGAAGGATGTTTGTGGGCAGGGGCAGTGCTTAGCACCTCTCAGGAATAGTAAGTGAATCACATCCCCAAATCACTTAGCATAGGTGTAGAGCACAGGTGAGACGTTTTTTACCCCTTCAGTGATCACAGAGGTGAGGTTCTCGTGTGGGTGTAGGTGGGGCTGTTGTGGCATTAGCCAAAACGCCGATGACTTTAACTGCAGGGGACTCACAAGCGCTCATTTATAGAATGGCTCTATCTTGGTTTTGTTCTTGATGCTGTAGGTATAACAGTCTGGTGACTGGCAAGCGGGCAAGAGGACTCATCGCTGTGCTGTGGCTCCTGTCCTTTGGAATTGGACTGACTCCGCTTATGGGCTGGAATAAAGCCATGAGTGGTTGTCCCAACGCCACCAACGAGACAGGGGCTGACACCGGGACAGAGCACCATGGCTGCTTCATCTCATGCCTCTTTGAGAATGTGGTAACGATGAGCTACATGGTGTACTTCAACTTCTTTGGCTGCGTGCTGCTGCCGCTCGTTATCATGCTGGGAATCTACATTAAGATATTCATGGTCGCCTGCAAACAGTTGCATCAGATCGAACTGATGGGCAACTCCAGGACCACGCTGCAGAAGGAGGTCCACGCAGCCAAGTCTCTGGCCATCATTGTAGGACTTTTTGCCTTCTGTTGGCTGCCCCTGCATATCTTGAACTGCATCACTCTCTTCCATGAGGACTTCTCCAAATCCAAGCCTGAGTGGGTGATGTATATGGCCATCATCCTCTCCCATGCCAACTCTGTCATCAATCCCATCATCTATGCCTACAGGATCAGGGACTTCCGCTACACCTTCCGCAAGATCATTTCCAAGATCCTCTGTAAGACGGACAGCTTCCCCAAGTGCACCACTGACAACAACCAGCACCTGACTGTCACCAACATTAACTGCCCAGTAGCCTCTGTGACCGTATGACCTTGCACATCCTGCTCCCAGGGTCTTGCGGTCCCTGACACTACCCTTCCCCGTGCCTCCGTGAACAGTTGCAGCTAACTCCTAGAGGAGTGCTCCGAGATGACCACTATGCAGTTATGCAGCTGTATTTGTTTTATTTTTGTAATTAACATCGTGCCCCCCAGACGAATGACCTGACCGGGGAGACTGAGTGCAGCTCACCCTCGACTGTAAACCCAGGTTGCATTGTGCTGGTGATCGTATTGTATTTCCTTTCCAGGTCTGACATTGACTGTGGAAGACCCACCTGCTGGGGGTGTTTCCCCAATTGTGCTGCTCATGTCAAGTCCTAGGATCTTTATTTTAATTATTATTATATTTTTTAAATCTTGTGATTCATTTAGGAGTAATAATTTTGTTGTTTGGTTTTGGGTTGTTCTTTAAGTCCATACTTGACAGCACTTTGGTAATACCCTAATTATTCCATCAATTGTTTGATGCAGCTAGTATTCTCCGATGGGAAAAGGTCTTACTTAGCCCAGTTGCTGGTGTGAAACTGAATCTGCGTTCCAGGCTCTGAGGGATGTGACCGTGTTCATGGGAAAACAAGATCAGAACTGGCCAACTATTTTTGGCCCCAGTATGGAAGCTCTACTTACTGAAAGAGGAAAAAAAAAATGCAGAAAAGAGTTGACTGAAGTTTTGGAACAGCAGTCTCATTACCTTTGAATCACTTTGGTCTACAGGATTGTGTAGACCAATGCTTCAGGTTTGATTTCAAATCTGCTTCCAGCTATCAAACGGCGAAAGGCAGAAGTGCCCTAGTAGCCCGAGTCAGTGTCACCAAGGTAGTGCAGACGCTCCCTCGCTGACGTGATCTCCACAGTCAGGGTTTTGCTACCAAGTCAAGACTTGACAGCTTTGCAGTGCTTCCAGAAGTGCAGCTTTTAGCTGTGACAGCTGGATGCTGCAGGTCTCCTGATTCCTAAAACTCGGTCTTGCTGGGCTTCCTCTGTAGCCCAGTAACCCCCAGAAGCTGTGAGTGCTTTTTTTCCTAATGGTGATTTTATTTTAATTATTTTTTAATCCTGACCTGCATCAGTAGCAAAAGAGACTGGGAGGGAGCTAATTTGCTTGGGGCACCAGAATGCCTTGACTTGCGACCTGATTTTGGCCAAGCTCTTTGGGGCAAGGCTCGCGCTGCAGACTGGCTGGCCTGGCCTCTGCAGGTAGCCTCGGCGTCCTGGCCCTTCGTAAGGACAAAGCCCTCGCAGCAGCGGAGCAGTCTTAATTTGCACTGCAAGTCAATACCTCTCAGCAACCACAGCTTGGTAATTACTGTGCCTCATTTCATACTAAGTGTGACATGCAAAACTAGACAAAAGTAGGAAGAACGGTGCATTAATTTCTGAAGTGCGAGCTCCACTACTCCAGACTGCGTGCCAGCACGTGCACTGCTGTGAAGGACCTAGTGTTTCTAGCATGGCTTTTGTCTTGCAGGGCAGTTTCATTCCACAATGGAGAGGAACAGGGAGGGGAGGCAGAAAAACACCAAACAGCCTCCCTCCTCCATGCCCAAAAGGCGATTGAGGTGCAGAGACAGCTGTTCTTGGCTAGTTCAGACCTGCCATCACGTTGTGGCCCTTTTACAAACAGGACTCTTGCCTGAAGGTCCCTGCGAGGTGGAGTGGTACCAGCTCTCTGCAAAGCACTCCATGCCAGCAGCATCACCATGCAACCCGTGAGGAGCTGGAGTGCAAGGAGGTGCATTAAACGTGGCTCTCGGCTCTCAGTGGTAACTCCTGCGGGGAGGCAGAGACGGGGAGCAGGCCTTTCAGAGCCCCATGGCAGGGAAGGAAGTTTAAACAGCCATCGCCTGAGGAACAGGTCCAGTGGGCAGACTGTGACGCCTGGAGCAGTTTGTCCCTGATAAATTGTACTTGAATCATACAGAAATCAGCCTTCTATTTTTCTTAACTGCGTTGCACTAAAAGGGAGGTAATAGAAGACCCCCCCAAGAGTTTCATTTCTGTGGTGTCTATAGTGATAAATACGGTGTAAAACCAGCTGAAAAACTGATCTGAAGCAATCCTGTTCCTGCAGCATCTGCTGTGCCAGCTGGCGTGACCTGCAGGCAGCAGCTGTGGGTGCCATGCAGCCAGAGGACGGTTCCTGAGGCGAGATGGATTTCGCTGCCCTGTGTGCAGCAGCTCAGCCATAAGAGCCGGCCCCAAACCTTGGTGAATCACCAGCAGCACTGAACGCGTTTGGACATGTTTATGCAACATCCAAATTTAGCTACAGCTCGGTATCTCCGATACTGGCATTTCCAAGATGAATCTGAAGAGTTAAAGCTACTGTCCCACGTGTTCCTGCTTTAACATGCAGCTAACACCTGTAGCCACCTCCCGCCATTTGGGCAGGGTTTGACTCTCTCCTCCTCTCATTCCTTCCCTTCTATATGATCGTTGGTTGTGTTCCTTCTGTCAACCACGGCTGGAAACAAGCAGGGTTTCACCTGCAGGTCTGGCAGTGTTGCAGAGCGGGTGTGAGCCACATTTATCCTCACAACAAAGAAGGCAATCTCTCCCCTCTCACTGGCTGAAAATGAACCAAGCTCTAGACGGAAACGCGCAGCGCTGCGATACAGAGAGAGGGTCCCAGAACACTTGCTCCTATGTGGCAGCTTGCGCCACAGCTCGGCATCCACTGCCGCTACCTTTCACACGCCTCTTACGAGCCAGAATTCCTGCAGACAGATGTGGTGTTTCCCGAGTATGACTGTGCCATCGGGTTGTTAGCCATTACTAACTACGGCCCCGGTCACTGTGGCCTTTAGGCACATTAAATGCCTTCGTGGATCTGAGCCAAAGTCATTTTAAGGCAAAATAAAAATAGGACACCTCCCTCACCCCCCCAAAAAAAGCTCTGAAGGTTTCTATAAAAATGTGAAGTGAAAATGGCAGAGGAACTTTCTATAGCGAGTGCAGCTGTAGCTATTCAGCTGTCACTCATTACTGCTCTGCTGTACGTAGGATGGATGTGTTTTCCTCATGTTGCTCAGATTTTGTATTTGCAGTAACAGTTATTTACATACAGAATGCTTAACTTAACACCCACACAACCTGGCTCAGCCTGTGCCTCATTATTTCTTGTGGTGCTGCGTTCACATGGTCTATCATAGGAGGCTACGCTGTACTCGAGGAGGAGCCCAATCCCAGAGCACGGGCAGGGAGCGTCAGAGCTGGAGGGAGCTGGTTCCCAGCTCACCAGCTGGTGCGTGGAATGGGGGAGCAGCAGTCTCCCTGCCCCCATGTCTGATGTGGACAGCCAGCATGAGGTGGACAGCTTCTCTGCAATGGGTCAGTTTAAAAGCACAGCAAGCAGAGTGATGCTTCCAAAGAGGGGAAGCACAGACCTGTTCAGTCTCGAGGTGCTGAGGGGTCCCTGCCCTCATCCCTGGTATGGCTTTACCAATGATGAATCTGAAATTGCTCTGAGCAGCCAGCTGCAAAGAGTCACTGCAGCGTCCCTCTGTCAGAGGCCAACTCCACAAAGGCACGCCGGCACACTGGAAGGGCGGTGGGGTTAGTTAAAGCACGAGCAGAGTTAAGAAGGTTTAACGCATCACTAAGAGAGCTGCTGGACTGTTTGTATGCCCACATCACAAACACGCAATATCACAGATTAGTTCAAACATCTTCAGAAATCCCAAGAATAGCCTAAATAAATGAAACTGAAGTCAACACAGGTTTCTTAACATTTATTAATTAATCAATCTGTCAGTGCAAGGCTGCTAATTCATGTCATGCTTGGCTGCAGCACAGGAAGAAACCTACCAGCCACGATGAACATTTGACAGCCAGCTACAGACAGCCAGCTACAAAAAATGCCGGCTACACAGCCGGGAGGGTACACAGAAAGCACACCTGCATGTGATCCAGGTCCTTCATCCTTCATCCTCTTCCTCAGCCAGTAAGATGCTTGTGAGCTGCTCCTCAGAGACAGTCAGTTCCTGGCAGGCTCCCACAGCCTGACTGAGGTAGACAGCGAGTATATGTTTGCACTGCAAACAATAGCACAGCCAAGTTGACAGCAGGAGCAATGCAGGAATGTCACCCTCTATCTGGAAGCCACAAAAATCAGTCCTGGCCAGAACAGGTCTAATGAAGTGCTCACCCCTCCCAGGAACATGGTTGCCTCTTGGCATGCCAAGCCCTGGCACAGACTGGTGCTCCAGTTGCCCCTGGTCAGTTCTGCCACCAGGATAACGTAACACAGGGATCTGACACAGAGCAAAGTGTTCCTGGCTCCTGATGCCCTCCCCACAATAGCAGACCAGCTGGTTACCCCGAGCCCTGCCTCACTGGCACCAGTGAACCACACCACTTCATCAGCCAGAGTCTATGTGGCAATCCCATTAGCAGCAACAGCTCTTGTTCCAAGAGACCAGGGATTATTCATCTCTTGAAAGTCAGAACAGTAAAGAGAAATTAAGAACAAAAGCCCTCCCTAGCCCTCGAAAGGCCTAGCTCCACCCAAATACTGCGACTCCCAAAGGCCGGATTATGCAGTGGGTCAGACACAGACTCCGTGGCCAACTCAACGCTCATGTGTTTGCTCCCTTGGAAGCTTCAGGCTGCTCAGGTTCAACGAGCAGAGCACAGCTTTCTCATCCGCTCCCTGTCCCGGCCCCAAGTTATGGCAGACCACTTACCAGAAGACTCTCGCTCTTCTGCAACACAGTAAAACCAAAAGCAGGACACGTGCAGAAGTGGCAGGAACTGTAGCAGGTGTAGAGTTTGCCTGAGCTCCCAAGGACCTGAAACAAAAGCAGTCAGAGAAAGCAGAAGTCAGAGACAGCATCCACTTTTAATTTCTCTCTTAGCCTGTATCTGGCCTGATGTCCTCTCTACAATGACTCACAGCATGCACCTGGCAACCAGGTGCCACAATACAAGTGTCCCCAAACACTTCAGCGACCCATCTAAGCTTGAAACTCCTCAGCTTTCTGACATTCTCCACACGCTTCTCGCCCTACGTGTGCAGAAGTGCTCCTGTACGTGCTCCCGTGCTTGCAGCAGACCTCAGCTCCTGTGACTTGTCTGCTGCTAAGCGATCAGGAGAAGGGCAGTAGCACCGAGCTCCCTCCCTGAGCTCCCACAGCCGGCAGCACAGCGAGCTGCCAGCCCCCCCAGTGAGCTCCCTCCCCCAGTGCTGGCAGACACAGGGTAGCTGGAGATGATGAAGACTCTCTTGTCACAGCAAGCCCATTTGTGAATCCAGAGCCACCTCGGGCCTGGGGATGGAAGGAGAGCAGCAATGAGCACTCGTGGTGAGGCTTTTTCTAACCAGCTCCAGTGGCTGAAGGCTGCAGAGGCTCTTGCTGTTCTGTTCCCAAAACCAGCTGCAGCTATTGGAATCCAGTTTTGCCTGAATAAACAAAGTTGAAGTCTCCAGAGAAGAAGCCTCCCTGCTCCGCCTCTGGTTTGGGAACAGCACTGCCTCCTTTTCCCACATGCTCTTCCTCTGCAAGGCTGGTACCGAGGCGTCTTCCCTCTGCACCCTGGGCACAGGAGGCAGGCAGCCCGGTGAGGGAAGCATTTGCTTCCAGCATGGAGAAGCTGACGGGCAATCTGTGAGCTGCTGGAGCCGACTGCATGGTATAGGAAAGACAATCTATGGATTATTTCTCTTCTGATTTCTTCAAGACTGGACAATATCTTTACAAAAACTACTTTAAGCAGCCAACTGCTCTGCCCTGTCATATTGCAAGGGAAGGGTCTGCAGGAGCAGAACACACTCGCAGACTTTAAGCAGAAACCTGCGCTCAATAGCCTGGACTTCACTAATGCTCTGAGGCCTAAACTGAGTGCACCCCGTGGCCAAAACACAATTACCAGAGAGTATTTGCCATGATGTGTCTCATATCTGCCACAGCGAGAGCAATTGCTTTGTGTCAGCTCTCTGGCCTCAGCGGCTGGCACTGACTCTTCCTGGATATTCCAGAGAACGGTGGGGATTTGCATGGGCGTAATCACCAGCAGTGACCTCCCCTGCACACAAGCCCCCGGGCTCTGACGCCACACCACACTCCTCTCCCATAGCAGGCTTTAGAATCTGTTTGGGTTTGCGGCACGCCTAAATCCAAAGATAAACACAAAAAACGTAAAAAGCCAGTGGAGCTCTGCAGAGTGCTGCTCCCCTGGCACTCCTCAGCCCTTCCAGAGGAAATTGTCACTCCCAGCCCAGAGCTGCACTTGCAAGGGGAGCCCTCCCCTGTCCCCTGCGCTCTCTCTGCACCCCTCGCCCCACAGGTAACGCCCACAAGTTTAAGCTCTCGCACAGAAGCACCTATGCCTCATAATCCCCCTTGGTCCCAGCACATTCAGGACACAAGACTCACGTTCCTATTTCAGGGTAAACCATTCTTTTTTCAGTCTGGCCTTTACCCTGAGCCCTCCTTATACTCCAGGCTGAGTTTGTTTCACTTGTGATAAGTTTGTTTTTCTCTAGTCCCTTTGATTGTTTTTTCCAAGATGAAGTATTCCGATGGTGCCTTTCCTTCAGAAGTGTTTTCCTTTGAGGAAGGGGGGAAGTCACAGACACTGCCAGATTTGGGCTGAGTGTAGTGTTCCTCTGTCCTGACCTAGATGGCAAGAATGCAGCTTCTGCCTAATAAGGCAGAATTTAAAATCCAAAAACCCAGAGAAAAAGGTGCCTCTGTTTCTGACCAGCTGCAGCCAAGCCAGGCACTGGGGTGTTCTCTTGGCCCTGAGATGCTATGAGATTTGCTTCTGCTGCCTTCATCTCCAGGCACTTGCTGGCTCCACAGAGAGGAAAAATCACCTTGGTGGTGGGGTCCCTGCCAGCGTGTGGGGACACAGGAGGGTCAGCTGTGGCACCACGGCAGCTACTGCTGCCACCAGCATACAGCTAGGCAGCACCACAGTCTGTGCCAGGACCTGATGCTCAAGTCCGTCACGGCCGGGCAGGCTGCCATACAGTTCTAGGAAATTAATTAAAAAAGACATAAAAAAGAAGAACCCAATAGAAGTGCGGGATGTGAGCAATGCAAGTGACAGTTGGCAGCAGGGCTAAAGCAATGCCTCTCCCCCTGCTAACTGGCTCCACTCCCACAGCTCACAACATTTCTGCAACGCAGGTGTGGCAAATAGGTGCCCCAGCTGCTGCCTGCTCACCACTTCACACTTCTACGGAATCCAGCACAGCTCCACCACCAGCCAGCACTCACCATCTCTGCACCAGATAAGTCTTATTTAGCCCTAACCTGGAGTTACAAGGGTTGGCTTTAGTCTGCAGCACAGGCAGACATTATACAAGCTCTTCTGGGACAATTTAACAACTCTGAGGTAACATCAGCCCTTGAATACCCCATTGGCGCTACTCCTCTATTAAGTAGCAATGGCATTAATGCCCAGCCATTAAATGAAATATCATAGCTTTCACTTGACCAAGGGCTCTTTCTTCTCCCACCTCATTTCCTGAGGGCAAGAGCTGTCTGCACTACAGGCTGCAGTCCTAGGGCCTGTCTGAGCAGAGCCATTTTCCCCTGAAGCAGTACCTAAGATGTACTGGGTGATATGGACTGCAAACAGCATTTCAGCCTGTGAAGCATCAACATCTCAGATTTGGCTATGACGATCCAAGGAGTTTCACAATAGGACCAGCCTCATAGCCTCCATGGGAACAGTTCTCCAGTCCAGCTGTGTCAAAGCACCACCTCACGTTCCAGTTCAACCACATCTGCAAGCAAACGGCAGAGCTGACTATCTGAGGAATAAGAGAAAGCGATGACCGCGCACGTGTCCAGGCAGCCATGGATGGCCCCCTCTCCCCACGGCACTGGGCATGCTTCTCTGCTGAGGGAGAAGGGCACACAGCTGGGATACGTGTCTACACCACACAGACACGTGAATGAAGAGCCAGTGATGCTACCCAGCTACTCTGACGTGCAGTATCCCACTCAGTGTTTTGGGTTCTACTGCCCCAGATTGTATTCCTGTGACTGCTCCAGACAGCGGTCTCAGGGGAGGCTCTGCTCTTTGTTTCTGCACCTCAGACAGCTGTGCTGAGGAAGAATTTCGCAATGGGATGAGCCTCACACCCCCAGAGAAAATACCTCTTCAGCTTCCTCTGTTAATGAACTCATCAGCATGGCCTTAATCAGCACTCAAGCTCCACTGAAGAGGAATGCTGCTCAGAAGCACACAGGGACCTGCAGGCAGGGTCTGCTTCCTGCAGCCTGTCTGCGAGGAGGACACAGGCACAGACCCTGGGTGATGCAGGGGGCCCGCTCACATCATCCCCATCCGCTACAAAGTGCCTGGCTGAAGGCTGGGCTTGTCTTACACTAACTCCTTGTGACGAGTCCTGACCTACCTGTCCAGGGGTTCTTGGGTTCTTTCCCACTGGGCAGCGCGGAGGGGTGCTTGCCTCGCTGCAGCACACGCAGTTGGAGGCAGCACTGTTCAGCAACGACCCTGCTCAGACCAGAACAGGGTGTCAGGGCAGCACCCAGCACACCAGAGCCCTCTCGCCATGCTTCTCTGAACTCCTCTGTGTCTCATGAGGCTTCCTGCATCTAAGAGATGAATATTGGGCCTCTTAAGATGCAGATAACTCTTTCACAGCAGAAAAGCTGTGAGGCCGCAGCGCGGAGGGGTGCTTGCCTCGCTGCAGCACACGCAGTTGGAGGCAGCACTGTTCAGCAACGACCTGCTCAGACCAGAACAGGGTGTCAGGGCAGCACCCAGCACACCAGAGCCCTCTCGCCATGCTTCTCTGAACTCCTCTGTGTCTCATGAGGCTTCCTGCATCTAAGAGATGAATATTGGGCCTCTTAAGATGCAGATAACTCTGTCACAGCAGAAAAGCTGTGAGCACCCATTTAGGCTCCCTGGGAAGACCGGAGGCTCTAAGCAGTCCCCGTCATCCTTCACACAAAAGAGTGCTAAGGCAAGACTGTGCATCCCAGCCTGCAAATCTCTGCCTTGGCCTGCACGGTTCGCCAAAGCTCTGCAAGGAGAATGCGACCATTCTCTGCCCAGTGGCATATGCATCCAAACAACAGTAAAAAAGGAAAAAGCCTTTAAGCATTCAATTAGTGAGGCACCTGCTGTCTAAGGGTCCTGGAAGCAGGGCTTCTTAGGCTTTACCAAATATCCACAGGCAAGCCCCCAACTAAAATCAAAGGCTATGTTCTTGAGTTGATGAATCATGCCTCCCTGGAGGGGCTGATGTTCTCTCCAAGGCCCCAGAAGCGATAAACACTCCATGTGCAAATCAAGCAATGCAAGCTCTGAACATTTGAAAAGTGTTTGTCATTACCCAGGCCTGGTTCACTGCTCTTCTCTTACCCTAGATGACCCCAAAGCATCTCAGCACCTCCAGTGAAGGAGACAAATCCCTTTGCAGGGAGGATATTTGGAAATGTTCCTCTTGGCTGCTGCAGCGGTGAGCAAAGAGATTCCTCCTTCTCTGGTGTGTGATAAAGCACAGCACCAGGTTCAGCAACGGAGGGGGCTGTGCTAGCTGAGGGGGTTAGTAGTGCTAAGTAGAAGGAATTGGGTGCTTCTCCACCAAAATCCTGTGGGCACAGGGTCCCACCGCCTTAGCTAGGGCCCAGCACACAGTGTCTCTCTGACTCTGTGACCCCATGGGCTGGATGCAGCTGGTCAAGGGCTCACAGAACGGACAGCCTGTCCCCGACAGAGATGCCATTGGTGCTGTGGCACAGTAGAGCAAGGAATTGTCCATACCACAGAAAAGTCAGAAGGAAGAGCCAGTGGCTCCTCTCTTCACCTCATGAGCCTCAGCTCCATCTCTGATCCTGTGTGGTATGAGGAGTTTGGTCTTTAGGGCTAAGGTGAGCTCTTCTCTCTAAAATGCCATTTTATGAAGATATTTCTGTGATTCACAGACTTGGCTAGAGTGAACTGGAATGAAACCCACGGACTTGGCCTGCATTGCTTCCTCCCAGGCTGCAAGGATCCTATCGCCAAGCAGAGGTCAAGAGTGTTCAGGACACAGGATTTGGAGCGCAACGGGGAAAGAAATGCAGTGATGGCAGATAACACTCTGTTCCACACAGCTTGTCAAAAGGAAGAACTGCCTTTGCCGGATAGGATGAAAATAATAAAGCAAAATTAGCAGTCCCTGGAAAACTTCCTTCTGACCATGATATCCACAAACACATACGAAATTGTCTCTGACTGGCTGGGAGCCACCAAGAAAACAGTAGTGTACCATGCTGTTCTAATTCTAGTCTGTGGCTATTGCTCTCCAGTATCGCTTCGGGAGTTTGTAAAACACTGACATTCTCTCCGTGTTTATTCAAGTCCCCTTCCATGTTCTCCAAGTTAGGAACACTGGCTCACATGTCAACTGGAAACCATCAGAAAGTAAAACTGAAGAGGAGTGTGTACCTGGTAGGCAGTCCTTCCGCTGGGCGACATGACTCGGGTGACAGAACGCTGATCCACCAGATCCAAAGCTGGGACAGCAGATGGGCCAAATATGAACTTCAGCCTGAAAGAGAATGTGTCTCTAGTTAGGCCACACCACATAAGGAGACAACCTGGCTTAGCCTTAATCCATAGGATTTAGCCCTATGGAGTCCAGAACGCCTGTAGTCAAAGGTTCCCATTGCCTCTCAAAATCCCACCACTTACGGCTCCATTAATTACGCTACCAAGCAATGAAGTGTATTTGTCATTCTCAGCTTTGCTGGCTTTCACCAAGTGACCAGCAATCCATGCCCTGTCCCTCTGAGAAAATCTCAGGGCTCAGTCCTTAAACACAGCCTCTACCCCGCCAGCTATTTGGAGCTCGGTTTTGATATTCCTAAGAGAACTTCTAAATTTCCAGGCTGCTCCCAAACAGTCCCACATTTCTTTGCGAAATCCCACTCAGATTTAATTACAAGACATTTTAAAGATTCTTCTTACACAGGACATTACAGCCTATGTGTTTCTTCTTCAGCATTATGACCCAAACACTATGCTGGCTGCCTGCTGCACAAACAGGACATGAAGTGATTCCTGTCCTGAACTAAAATGACACAAAGTGCATCAGAGACATAGAAGTGAGATTTTTTTAGTCAGTCTCTATGACTGTGACACAGTGTTAGCCATGTAGGCGAGGAGTTATCTTTGAGCGGCATTTCTGGCTTCACAGTCACTTTACAGACCACTGATTATTGCAAAGGGAAGTAGGTGAAGCAAGAGACACAGGCTGTCCTTGCAGTGATCTCATCAGCCTTTTTGTTAGAATTCCCATAGTTCTTCTGATACAAACTCCATGTAGACAGAGTACTGGCGCTTAACCAATTTATCAAACAGTGAATCTAGACTTTAAAACCAGAAACTCTGCTTCTGCCCAGCACCCTAAATACTCTAGGTTTTCTTCAGGGGAAACTGCGCCTCTGGCAGCAAAAGCAAGACATGCTGGCAAAGAGAAGACGCAGGAAGGAAATCCTGGGGGATGCGCAGTGCTGGGGATCCAACAGAGGTTACCGGCAACAGGCAGTGTCACACATGCAGCCGAATTATCCTTGTTGCAGTAAACTGTGAAACTGTCACATGAGCACAACGAGCATAAACAGGGATTTCAGTGGGGGCAGCACCAGGTAAGCAAGAGCACATGGACGCAGACTTGCTAATGCTAAGGGGAAAAGGGGTTCGTGCTCTGGGACACCTTAATTGCACATACAGGCAGTCCTGGATGAGTTGCTCTGGATCAGATTATTGATCAGCTGGTCGTGAATCCCACGTCCAGTCAAAGCCCACCCATTGTGCCTCAGAGCAAGCAGAGAGCAAGGATGATACATAGCTCCTTGAGCAATAGGAAATGCAGCAGTAGGGCTCCTTCCTCCTCCCAGGGCAACTGGTTTAAACCCTGGAGAACAAATGAGTCATTTCGTAGTGATCACATCTCCTCTATCACAGTCACAACTGAGGTATAAATTATTCTTCCTCTACCCATCTAACTGCATCAACAGGAAGCTACAGACCATCATAGCAGTAGTAGTTTTACATCTGTAAGCCAGCTACCAGCAGGGCTCAGAGAGAGCAAATTTATTCCAGATAAACACCCAGGGACAGCACATGCCTTATGTCACTCCACTCTCCCTAAAAACCCTTTCCCTTCCCTTTCCTTCCAAGCAGGATGTATCACCACGCAGGGACGCACCACTGCACAGCATTTATGGATCAGAGAGTGCCTGGGATGGGGTAAAGATGCTTCCTGTAAAACATGGCCTCTACACAACTCTCTCCTCGGCCTCAGGGCTGTGAGGCCGCACCACAGAGGCACATACTGGTGTCTGACTGCTGCTGTGCTTGGTGCTGTAACATTCCACACGAGCCAGTGGAAAACCAAAGCGCTGCAAGTCCTGAAGGCACAGTAATTTCCATCTACACACTCCCTGTCTGCACATCCCTGCAAGGAGGGTTTTATATCTGATGTCGTGCAAGGGTATACAATAAGCTGCATGTCAAATATGGACATCTACCTTTAGCCTTTTGTCCAGACAGCCCATAGGCTTAAAAGTTATTCTAGACCTGAATATCCAGCTGCTCTGAATGTGTTCCAAAGAGCTCAGGGGCAACTCAGTTAACTTTACAGACCTATTATTTGGTGAGAAAAGTCTGTCTAGTCTAGATTAGTTACAATGGTCAACAGCAAGAAAATCAGCAGTGATGAAAAGATAGTACAAATATCAGCAGGAGAACAGAAGAAAGCAGAGGAACATTTCCAGCTTCAGTGAAGACACAAAGAGCCAAGGCAGAGCCCTGGCGTCTCTGCAGCACGGCTGACCTACGCGTCTGAGACAATCTCATTGATAACTAGCCAAGCAGACAGACTTCTTCCAGGAAGATCAGAACTTCAGCTGCACAAACTCAAGGCAATAAGGACTGGCTTCATCTGAGGACTGAGACGAGGTGGGTGGGGGAACACTCAATGCAAGACATTCCTCAATGATTAGGTTTGGGACTATAAGGGGGCTGAGTTTAATGAGTTTCAGTAACTCATTCAAATTTGGGAAATTCTTTTTTCATGTATATAATTTGATCAGTCTAACAGGAAATAAGTAAGAGGAATGTCCAAAGAAATTCAAGGACTTTAGAGATTTGGAAGAGATTCAGAAATTAAATCAGAATACTTCTGAGCTGCTGGTCACAGGGAATTGATGGAAATCTGACTGCCAAGAGTTACCACCCAAACATTATTAAACTTAACAAGGGAATTTCTTTCCTCCTCTTTTCTTTTATGACAAGAAGGAAACAAAAAGTTACGAGACTTGTCAAATATAACTGCACCCTTCAAAGGCCACTGTGGTCCCAGGAGAGGGAGCCAGCACGCATACCTTTCACAAGTGTTATGTTAGATAACTTCAGACTCAAAGATATCCAGGCCTGAAAGCTTCCTGGTGATCTCCTCTCCTGGGTAACTTACAGGCAGGCAGGAACACACAGGTAAAGATGAATCTGAAAAGCCTTTCTTGCTGTGATGGTGCCTTTTCTTTACCTTCAACACCAGTTACTGAGGGCTGTGAAAGCTGTGAAACTTGGATCTCTTATGAGACTTGGAATGGCTGAAATATTCACAAGCTTAAATCAACACAAAGACAAAGAAGCTGACCTGAGACAACTTTTAAACAGAAGAAAATGCTCAGGGCAATCTTCAAGTTAACAATTTTCTTGTGCAGAGAGATGACACATTCACTTCTCCCTTTCTATCACACACGCCCATGACTCCAACAGAAGAAGGGATCTCAGGACGCTGCTGTGCTCACAATGATATGAACACAGCAGAGATGCAGCACTCCAGCAGCATGGGTCGCTCTGAAACACAGTCCACTCTCACAGAAAACTCATTCCAGATCTGAAGGTGGACTCAGAGCTCAGGTTAAACACCCTGGGCTTCTGCATGTTTAAGTCACCCACATTACAGCAAGTCATCAGAGGAGATTCAGCAATACAGAGATAATTTCATGAATCTCTGGAAAAATCCTTGAGATTGTCTCTTTGGATCTTCATTTCCACTAGCAGCAAAACCATGCAGCAACTCTGCATGAGAAATACGTACTGGTCAAGCACAGGAAAAAAACAGCGGTACTATGATGAGAGTGGATTATCAGCTGCCCTTTAGCAAGACACTTGGGACAAGATCTGAAGCAAAAGATACTTACCCCAGCAGCAGGTCATCGGGAACTGCAATAAAAAGAAAACGAAGTGTGAGAAGCGTGGCCAGCAAGTCAAGGGAGGGGATTCTGCCCCTCTGCTCCACTCTGGTGAGACCCCACCTCGAGTCCTCAGCATAGGACAGACACGGACCTGTTGGAGCAGGTCCACAAGAGGCCACAGCAATGATCTGAGGGCTGGAACAGTTCTCCTATGAGGAAAGGCTGAGAGAGTTGGGGTTGTTCAGCTTGGAGAAGAGACGGCTCTGGGGAGACCTTACTGCGGCCTTTCAACACGTAAAGGGGGCTTACAAGAAAGATGGTGACAAACTCTTTAGCAGAGCCTGTTGCGATAGGACTAAGGGTAATAGTTTTAAACTCAAAGAAGGTAGATTTAGACTGGATATAAGGAAGACATTTTTTACCATGAGGGTGGTGAGACACTGGCACAGGTTGCCCAGAAAGGTGGCAGATGCCCCATCCCTGGAAACGTTCAAGGCCAGGTTGGATGGGGATCTGAGTGACCTGATTGAGTTGAAGATGCCCCTGTACATTGCAGAGGGGTTGGACTGGATGGCCTCTAAAGGTCCCTTCCAACCCAAACCATTCTATGATTTTGCCAGACTTCCCCACTGTGAGAGACATCTCCCTAACGTACCGCCAGAGGCCACACAGGACTGCAGTGCTGTAGCCATCCTCTCTAGCCACCAAAAAGCAACAAGGAGCAGCAACATGATCTGCTATGGTAGTGCTAAGGCACTTATCAAGGACAGCAAGTAAATATACATTCTGAACCACGGGGATTAATTTTTAAAAGAAACACTAAAGCCAAGATATATTTATAATATCCTGCTTTTAAAAGCATGCAGCAAAAGGCATGCAGCCTCAACATCTTACTCTGTCACTTTAAGAAGCTGGTTAAAAATATATATATTGGTTTCCCTGAAACTCTCTTGGCATGAGCTGAAAACTCTGGCATCAAAACTCTTTAAATGTTGTTCTTTTCCCAACATAGTCTTGCAGGGCGTCACTAGTTTATAGCTTTTAATACAGCACACAGAAACATAATGTCTTCACTTGTTAGAACTTCTTGTTAAGACGGAAAATTACACTTAAGAAAATTAGTCTGCTTGTTGTAGCTAACAGCCGAGGCTCTGATCACCCAATTTGATCTTTCTGTTATCACTGATGGGACAGAGTCTACCACATCTCTGTATTCCACAGGAAGATCAGGATTTTTGACTTTAAAATCCTCTGTTCCAACAATTCAAAATATTCCCCATGGCTTACACTGCTGGTTTGACTTTTCCAACTTTATTCTAATTTAATTCTTCAAAGCGATTGATCAGTTTCTTTCTGTAGTTATGCCCCAGCGTACTAACTTGGTGCTTTAAGGAGAAGTATTCCTTAAAAGGAATGTTGATTTTTTTTTTTCCTAGTTTACAACAGGATTTATAAAGCTCTTTCAAAAAGTCACATGTAGATTTTGGATCTACTCTAACCTGACAGGAGCCATACCACAGGTATGCCAGAAAGCTGTCAACATGGTCACTCCGACAGTTTAGTCTCTGCCCGTTTCCCACTCAAATGCAGTACTCAAACAGACTTCTCTAAGTGTTTAATTGGTTGTTTTTAGTGCAGTTAAAATATTCCCTAAATAGACGTTTTCCTTAGGAAGAACCATTCTGTGCTACTTATCAAGTAAACACAAACACGTTTATGCTTTCAGCACAGATTACAGAACTACATTAGTAATCCAGAGTGCAGTGAAGGTAATTGTTCTTAACTAGCTGCTAGAATTGGCCCAGATTTAACTGTTGGCTTATGCTTGCTTCTCTCAAGCAACGGGGAAGTTGTTCTTTGCCCTGGGATTACAACACCACACCCTCTGCCAGGCAGCGACGAAATGTGACCATTTTTATGAAGATTTCCCTTTCAACGCTAGTTTTGAAATCAGTGAGTCGATAGAAGCAGCAGTACTGTAGGCACAACAAAGTGCCTACCTGGAAGTGCATAAATTGTCATCCCTCAAGTGCAACTACTTACATTACAAGCTCTAAGCAAGCAGCACGGCCCTGGGTCCCATGTTCAAAAAAGTGTCCAGCCCGGTCTGCTCTTTGGAAGGGCCTGACTTTTAGAAGGGGGCTGCTCCTCACTACCTGTGCTTCAAACCCCTTTGTGTCCAGACAAGCTGTATCTAGTAGAGCAATTAAATATACACTCAGAACCACAGAGATTAACTCCAAAAAGAAATGTGGAAGCCCAAATATACTTACTTCTACAATACCCTCCTTTAAACAGCATGCAAGAAAAGGTATGCGGCCTCAGCATCTCCCTCTGCCACTCCTGCAAGTGAAGGCCACCCCTCACGCGACAGTCTGCAGGAGATGCGAGCAAGGAGAGGCCGCCAGCCCTCAGTGCTACCCACAGGTTTGACAGCGCCAGTATTGCTGGCCGACCGCCTGCTGGGACGGCTCTGGTTTTCTTTACGTACCGTGTGCAGTCTCCTGAAAAGCCCTTTTGATCTCTTTCAGAAGCTCTTCTGCTACTGCGGGCAAGGTGCTGTCCATCTCCTTGGCACCAGCCTCGCACCTGGAAGCGAGACAGAAGACAGTGGGAGACCACGGAGGTCACCGCAGCTCCCACAAATGGGGACGGATTATCCGGGCACAACTCCATCCCAACCCTGCAACAAGGCCAAGCAAAGCGCATATTTAGCCACTTTTGGACGGTGTTTTTTAGGCTTTCCCGGAACAAAGCGCTTCTCAAAACCGCGCCGGTGTCTCGCAGACACCCCCCGCATAAACAGACCCGTGGAGGGGGGCGGGGGGGAGGATACAGCCGGCAGCAGGAGGATGCCCT